AGATATTGTTATAAAAGGAAACACTGTACAGTATTATAAAGTTTTAATGACCTATTGAGGAGATATTTAAAATACCATTTTCATGAATAATCTGAGCCATCCCTACATAGGCTTCCCTGATTCTACTAAAGTGGATTTTTCTGTGCTTAGTAGGCTTGAAGTGGCATTGTGTTTTTTTTTCAGTCTTTATCCTGTAGATTTCCCAGTTTCACTGTAACTGAATTTGATGATAGGCACAAGTTATCTACAACAAACTTTATTTCTTTGTCTGATGTTTTCATAAGTATTCCTACTTGTTGCTTACTTGGTCCGTATATATTTAATAATGCAACTGGGAAAGTATGAAGTTTATGATATTGCATTTCTTTCATGCCCCAATAATTTTCTATAACTCTTGAAAGTGTTGTTGTAGTTGGTTTTTATGGATTTTGTCTGGACATTCTGAGAATGAAAATATGGTTACGATTTTTGAGGGGGACCATCAGCATTATTTTGTTTATCACCTTGATGGTCTTCCACTTCAATGTTTATCTCTTGCAGAACCTTCAACTATATAGCTGTTATTCATTACGTGTGTTGGAAATTCATTAATCACTGTACTGAAACATTGTTGAATTGTACTAAGAGTTTCTAAAATGAGTAAGAACTGTTTCACTTCATAAAGGTAACTGTTACAAAAAGTTATTTGTCTCTGATTGTTTCTGGTTTGTGTTTGATCATTTAATGCCTTTGTCAATGATGAAATGGTTGTAGGTTTAAGTAGGCCAATATTGAAATCTTGGAATGCAGTTTCACAATTCATTGTCCTCTTGAAGGAATCGTTTAGTCCTTTCATTGCAGGTAGTTATGACGTAACAGTGAAAAATCATGGAATGAATATGAATTGTTAACATACAAGTAATTTAAATCTTATCACACTTCATAGAAGTGGATCTCTGGAAAGACTTGTTCTTGATAGGATTTTTTCTTCACCACATAACACAACTTATGAACAACAAGGGACCATTTGGTCCTTCAAGGCTCTCCATG